ACGCCGGGCCCCAAGCGAGCCACCAATTAACACCAATTAGCGCTCATCTGCTCTAGGTAGTGGCAGCGACGAGAGAGAACCGACTTTACATTTAGCACGAGACGTCTGACTCGCCGCGGTTCGGCCACAACGTGCCTCTTTGTGGCCGACCGGGATCGGACGCGAGATATTTTTCACTTCCGCCTTGAGGAAAATCGAATTGGACCGGCGTTTCGGATAGGTTACTGTTGGTCGAATGATGGCAGACAAATTATTAACACGTTCACCGCCAGGAGAATTTTCAGCGTTTCGTATAATATCACTTATAACGGGCAAGTGATGATAGAGATAATTACTGATGATTTCGTGTTATAGTACTTATATTACGCTATTATCTAGGTATTTATTTCGACATTAGTTTTCTTATTGTAATTGTTCTCCAGCAATTTGGAAACTGCGGTCATCGGTGACCTAGGCAACTCTAGGTGACATCTAGGAACGATCTGATGCACTTTCAGTTGAATATTAGGAGAGGCAATGTTATAACAACTGTACTAATGTTAAGTGTCGTACTGGATTTAGAATATAAAATTGACTCGTCAATGATAATGTTAATAATTTCGGTTTCCTGTTTGTCGAACCGGAACGAAGTAACAAAGCCAACGAAACTCACATCCAAAAAACCACTGATAATTCAATAATCTATTATCCACAGTTCCCTAAAGCTTCCAAACTGGAACAGAGTAACAAAATCAACAACACTCGTGCCCAAAGAACCACTGAACATTCAAATATTTACTATCCACAATTCCCTAAAACATTCAAATAATAACGAAGTAACAAAAGCAACAAAACTCATACCCAAAGAACCACCGATAATTCAAAAATGTACTGTACACAATCCCCTAAAGCTCGTAAATTGGAACAAAGTAACAGAAACCAACAAAACTCATACCCAATGAACCACTGATAATTCAAAAATTTACTATACACAATCCCCTAAAGCTCGTAAATTGGAACAAAGTAACAGAAACCAACAAAACTCATACCCAATGAACCACTGATAATTCAAAAATTTACTATACACAATCCCCTAAATCCATCCAACCACATTCCCAGTCGCATCAAACCCAACGCATCTTCGAGCGATCCAACGATCCCTCGCCGCGTAGTCGCGATCTACGACAGATCGGAATCCCCGGCGATCGTTCTTCGATCAAATCCGTCCGCGATCCGCTTCCCACATTCGTCACATCCCCTCTAAGCTCCTAAGTAGCTCGAACGATAGCCGCCGGACACCGGTGGAAACGAATGGGCGATCAGCGGCCACCGCGGTACCCGCAATAATTACCGATCTCCGCGGGTAATCGAAAACCACCCCCGCGATTTTTCACGGTCGTCCCTGTCCCCGGCTGTACCCTGCACCGTCACAAATCAGAATAATTACCCCAACGTCGGTGGTTTCCCGATGGAGACGGCGTTCCCGTTTCCTCTGCCAGGGGCAAACGGAGAATCTCCGTCTTGCTCTCTCTCTGTTCCAGCCTCGGCCGGTCGTCGCAGCGCACGTCGGTTCCCTGATTGGTACCACCAATCAAGGCCGAGTGAGTGACGGTCGGCTAATGCAATAAATAAATTCCAATCGCGGCTGCCGGCCGGTGGACAGGGGCTATCTGTTCGTCCGCTGCGCGAGCTAGCCAGTAAAGGTCCCAAAGGGGTGTCCAGGAGTCCCCGGGCCCCGCCGATCGATAGAAAGCTGGAAGTGTTCCCGATGGAACCGGTCCCCGGCTGCCGGCGCGGTAGCTCCGGGCAAAAATCACCTGGGAGGGGGAAAAAGAATGAGAACGGGAGAGAAGGATCGCGCGAGCGCTCGGTTTAATGAACTCCGGGGATCCTTGCTGTTGGACAATGAGAGAGGTTGAGGGGTTGCTGCTCGAAAGCAAATTATTTCGGATCTTTTTGAACTGTAGCGAAATGGGGTGGGTGGAAATGGGTCATTGGGAAATTGTCTCGCTTCGGTTAGTTCGTGTAACGTCTAATGCGATGGGGATACGTATTTAGAATTTTGCTTGGAAATTTTTATGATCTGTTGCTGGCTCGACTTATTCGAGAATCTTCGTTTTATTGCTTGATTGCCACAGTGGTCACCGGTGTCTGGAGCTTCTAAATTCCTCGAAAGCGATTGCAACAAAAAAATCGATGGCAAATGAAAGTTTCTAGTCACATAAGTAACTACACCTATAATATAACTTAAAAACTATGGTACCAAATTGTTCGTAATTGATTCTAATACGATTTACCTTCTCGGAATTCTCATGACAGTGAACATGTTAATTACAATCTACATTCTAATTCAAAGTAGCTGAAAATTCATTTCTAAAGATCTATCTCAATACCGTACGCGTTGCACGAACAACTCTCAGAATCGCCTGAAATCAAAATCGTAAACTTCAAACCATTATTATTAATATTATCATAATTATCTTCATTCAATGGATTATCAGAACGACGGAAATACTTCGATAGAGAATTATAAAACAAGTTCCCGCGTTTATTTATAAATTGTTTCACCGGTGCGCGGTGTTAGTTTCGACATCTCTGTTAAAACCGTTCGATTCGGTTTTCAGTTTCCGATCTTAATTCGATAAACGGTTAGGACTGCGATCGGGCAAGAAAGTCCGCCGACATCGGGAATAATTTCGATATTCGGTTTCAGAATGCCGATCCGTCCGGCGCAGCGGCGCGATATGTGGGAACGGATCACTCGCGGCTTGATCGATTCCTTTTCCGCTTTCGGAGCCATGTTCGCTCGGCTAACTGCCCGATCGTGACCGGACTACCGATCTCGAATTAGCGAAAACATTCCCTCCCGCCGGGCAACCCAAATGCTTAGATAACGCGGCTAATGTCGCCGCGCGCGGGACCGTTTCTTACCTGCGAATTGCTTCCTTATGCGGCACGACACTTCCACGATTGGAAGCCGCGTCAGCCGTACCGAGATACACCGGTTTTTGCCCGGCGCTGCCCGTTTCGGGAACGAAACGATCCCGCTAAGTGTCCGATAATTTTCAGCAATTTTGCGAACGGCCGCTGAGGTAAAAAGGGAACGATAGGTCGTTTTAAAAATAGATTTATCCGGGACGAAAGTTCGGTCCGGCGTTAATTTTCGAGGAACGTTCTCACCTTTTCGGTTTATTCGTTGCTCACTGTGTGAATATATTTACGTTGTATCGTATAGACGGTTTTATTTATGTATTTTTATAATCTAGGAACATCGTCATTCGTGTAAATTCTCGTTTCAAGAAGGAACTCGTATAAAACGAAGGATTTAACGAGCAGTCGTATTGGTTCGGTTGTAACAATTATAAAACTAACTGTAGAAAATATCTGACATTTAATAGAGGACAAACGGATGAACTGAAAAACTAATTTTAAGTGAAAATTTTAAAATAGTAGGAATAGTATCAACACTAAAACTATCAAAGATTTAATAGGATTGACATGTGATCCCTATAAAAATTGTAACGATAGCTTATTTTCGGCTCCTTCAGACATTCATTATAGTATTCAAATGAAACTGTTTATTTTCAAGATCATATCGATTATTCAATACTTTTGGGGCATCGATAATTGCGAAACAAAGCAATCGAAACCAGTCATTCTGGTACGTAATTAATCCTATATTTTAATAATGAAAATGAAATGAATCCTATAGATACTGTTATTAGAAATTATAAACTACGACATTATACTTAGAAACTCGATGACTCGTTTCAGTTTCATTTTTCGATCGAAGAAGATATTATAGTCGAGGAAACCGTCGGAGGAAATCGGAGAGTTTCTCTCGTTCGTATCAATTGAGACTTCTGCGACACCCGCTGGACAGCGACAGTGATGTCTTCTGGCGGAGATTAAAAATGTAAAACGCTCGCGATGGTTGTTAGTAGTAAATCGTTATTGTTGATTTAATGCGACGGACCGTAAGGTGCACCGTCGTTCACGCGATAAGTATAACGATGAAGAATGCGGGACGGTTGATAAACGCGTCTGGTGAATATTTGAATATTTTACACGGTCGATTCGTGGTATCGGACGGGGGCCGTCGTCAGAAGAAAAATGGTAATTTTATTCGAGCGTGTTACGCGTCAGCGCGCGCGAAGGGTCAGGAAACGCTGTATAAATTTGCGAAAGTTCATCTCGGAAGGTTCCACTTAGGTCCACGGTCGCCGAGGAATTATTCAAGCTGGGCAGGGGTTAATTGCTGGCTTCATCAAACCATCTCCTTTCCTCTGTTCGAAGCAGCCCTAGACGAGCGTGACGTCATCGTTCCGTATTCGATTCGCCTTTACCGGAACAGGGCAATTCCAGACTGTAACGCTATATAAACTTCTATTCTGGTGCGCTCGCGGCGACGAGACGTCGTTAGCCGGCGGTTGTTAACACTTTATCTACGGCGAGCCTGTTAATCGGCGTTTCGATTGCTTAACACGGCCACTGCCGCGGGATTTTTCAGCGTTTTCTATAGCAATACTTATTCCATCGTAACAAAGGCGAACGATATTAGAAATAATTATAGCGATAAGAAAAGCGATGTATCGCTCCTTCAAGCACCTATGAAAAGTTCATTTCTCATTTTATTAGCAGTAAAGGAACATGGTTTTAGTATCGCAGAAATCGTACGAACTCTACAACTTTGAAACATTGTAAACAGATTTGAAAGAAGACTTCTAAGTAATAAGATACTGACCAACAGTTAATGACTTATAATTCCTAGCAACAATGATCATTAATGCTATTAAATATCATTAATCTAAAATTCCGAATCTCCGATTTCATCGCGAAACGAGAGCGATTAAAGCAAGAATTCATCCCACATTCGCCAAAGGAAGATTCGAAAATGCTTTCCAACGATTTACTGTTACTGTCAACTATTCTTCTCTCCCCGCCTAACTACCGAAACCTACGATTCGCCTCTGTCCAGTTATTTCTGTCGTTGTATAATAATGAAATTCGTCGTTTTGCAGAGACAATTCACGCTGATCCTGCAAGCGAGAGACGAGGCGAGCGCGGGCGTGATCGAGGAAGCGAGTTACAGCGGCATTGTCTTGCCAGGGCCCACGTGGCACACCCTCAATCACCAGGGAAGGAACGCTCATCTGGCGTATCGCGTTCGGGTCCAGTGCGCGGATCATTATTACAACGCGACCTGCACGAAGTTCTGCCGGCCGAGGAACGACATATTCGGCCATTACACCTGCGACGAGAACGGCGACAAGGTGTGCATACAGGGATGGAAGGGCTCCGACTGCGAAACCGGTGAGTCAATCTCGTCCTTTCGTTCCTCTCTCGGCATTTTCTCTCTCCATCTCCTCCGGAGACATTAGACCACCGACGACTCGGCTCGCGAAACGAAAACCCGAGTGCTGTGATGCCGCAAAAGCAATTGACTCGTCATGCGGCAGTGATAAAAGTCGTTGTTCTATTAGTATTACACTGATAGAAGTCCAGGGGACTTTACTGATAGAACAATAAAAACATAATACCTCAATTATGTTTCTTCCGAATGTTTTTCTGTTCGGCCTTATGGCTTCTTAGGTCAGTATCGCCGCGAAACGGCGTAAGATTCTATGAAATACGGAGTCCGGCGTTGAATGGTTAGCCAATTCGACGAGAATCATTGAACGATTTGTTTTAATTATATTGTAATTTAATTCTCTTCGCTTAGGATTATTAGGTACACTTGTTTGCCGAGGCTGTTCTATTAACGGTCCTCTGTCGGACATAAATTATATGCGCCGACGATTTTTGCAGATACCCGTTCCGTCGAAATCTACGTACGATCGCTGTTGAATAATGTTATCGCGAAACCAGCAATCTAAATCCATACTGATTCGACGGGAATTGGGAGCATCGATAAATTGTGTATGTAAGTCGATCTTATCAGAGCCATTTACATATTTACGAACGAGCACGTGCAGTCGAGATGAATAATCTACAGCGCGTCACAGAAGTCCTGTTACGATCTCCGCGGTGAATGAAAAACCTAAACAAACAGTATCTTCCCTGAAAAATCTCCAAACTACTTCAGAGACAACAAAACGATTCTACATTCGAGAAACCTACTATTCCAGATCAATCCTAAAGTCGCGTAACACTCGAAAGTTCCATACCCCGTTGCTCAGTTTCCAAACTGGAGTCCGACTCGTGAAACGCTTAACGCAGTGGCCGCCATTTTCCCCGTGGAACCTTCCGAACCGGAAGTAAAACGCAATGCGACCATGGAAAGGGATCAACTGAATACGATCTCGAAGCGGCGAGCAAATAAAAAAGCTCCAGTGGGGAGGTAAACGAAAATAAAAAAGTGGAACGAGAGAAAAACAAGATGGCTGCCGAGCGAAGCGGGAACGAGGCGTCGCGTCGCGTCGCTTTTGTCGTTCGTCCCGGCTGTCTCGTTATGCATGCAACGAAGCGTCGCGTCGCTGCCGGCGGCGTTATTGGCGACTTTTAAACGGCTCCCCGCGGTGTTTTTTGCTCGCCATCCGGGGAATAATTAATCGATCTCCGAAGCGTGAAATCTCGCGTCGCGCGGCGTAATCGCCAGGTGACTTCGGGCCGGCTCGCGTCCCGTTTCGCTCGCTTTTCTCACGGACGGCTGCCCCCCGAAGTTAACGAGCCGCCGAGATAGATCCGACCGGATTTTTCTACGCGACCAGTCCCTGTTCCACCTTTTCTCGATGCAAAACACGGGGCAGGGAATAAATTGATTCGATTGATGACTGTGACCCTGACCTTGTGCTGCTTAGGGCCATGATGAGGGACTTATTTGTTGCGATGAACAGAATTGACACTGCTATTAGTGTTGTTTGCTTGTTTTATCTAAGATCCTGTAGATTTTGGTGGTTAGTAGATTGCGGATCTTTAGATCTCTAGATCTTTAGAGACGGTAGATTGCAGGTTCAAGTTTTTAAGAATTCGGAGATAGAATTGCAATGTAAAGTGATTTTTCTGTACATAAAAATCACTAGGGTAGTTCGCATATTTTTTGCGTCTTACGCATTCTATGCAATTTTAATTTCGTATAAATAAAAATCTTTAGATATTAGAATATTGCTTGAATAGTATGCGAACCTAATTGTAGATGTAATTATCAACTTCCATCCACTTCGTCAGTTCTATTATCGAATACATTACAATAGCACATTCACAATAAACAATTCACAAGTTTTATAGACTCCTAATACTTTCCCAAGTACACGAAGTGTAACAAGAGAAATGATTCAGTAATCAGGTATCATTGCCGGTTCGGACACCTTGGAAACCTCGCACAAAAGAAACAAGTTTTCGCGATACTCGTTTCATAAGGAACAATCCCGAGAAGCTAAGGCTCGTGCGAAGATCCGCGAAAGAATCTCCCGTTAACTCCCGCGCCGGACAAAGAATTCCCGACATTCGACGAAATTCTCGCTGAGCGTCTTGGCCTCTAACCCCCGATCAATTGGGCACGTGACATCGCCGGCTCTCGCGCGATAAATAATCGTGAGAAGTTGGCGTGCACGACGGCTTCCAGCCGGCCGTCCGAAAAACAATTACGCGGGACCATAAAACGTCCCGCGGAATCCACGGCCGGTGGACGTCGGCGACGTTTCGCGCGATCCGCAGGGGAAAGTGAAAATCCGCTGGATGCCTCGTCGCAAGTGGGCTGCGGATAGTTTATGCGGATTCAGATTTTTACGCGCATAATTGGGAAACAGAATTGCGATAGCGAACGGGGTTTCCCGGAGGAACATCGTGAAAACCGCGGACGTTTCTTATGTTCTCCTCGTGTCGCGCGCATCCTGCGCAGTGTGGCACTTTCGAATATCCCATGAACGCATGGACATCTTTAATCGTTAATTAATTTACATCTGGCCGTTCTTTCGCCAAAGTAATTGAGCCTACGAGGCAAACGCTGGAGAAATTGATGAAAGCCTATCATTGACCCTTTCTCGAAAGTTTTCCACTGGAAATATTCAATATTTTCCGACGAGATATGGATGACATTGTTTGAAATTTAACGATAATTCACAGGTAAATCAAGCAACAATGGTAGTTCATTTAAATATTACACATAGCAATACAAAGTTTCATTTAAAATGCTAAATATTTAGTAAAATCATAGTTTTGCTGCATCAAATCAAATGGTGGTTGAGAGTCAACCCTTGAGAGTTAACCCTTTGCGCCCCTATGTCGAGTGTGACTAGCGTTATTCGCAGGTGTGCTTCTTTGCCAAGACATTTTTCAAATAGATCATATTATTATGTGATTTTCAATGTTATTAGTAAGAAAAATACACTGCTCTCTACAAGCTGTCTATTTTTTCAAATGCATCTCAGGGAAAAATGCAAAAGAAATTCGGAGTGCAAAGGGCTAACCCTTTACATTAATTTCAAATTATAAAATTCTTCTTCCTATTCAAATATAGCAAACTGACAAACAAAATTAAAAGACGTGAATCCATACATACCTATAAGTTGCCTTTTCTGAAAAGAAATCTTAGATTCTCGAACGTTTCGCTATTGAAATGAACTGTTAAGATACTGAAAATGTTCAGAAAGCAAATGGTTAATAGAGTTTCTGAAGTATTAGTATCTAAAGCTACTATACTACCATGTATAGCAAAAAAAATAAACTTACAAAGTCTGAAGCTGTAATACAAAGGATCATTATTACTCGTAGAATAAAGAAATCTTGGAATGTATTTCAGCAAAATTCTTCTCTGAAGAGTCATATACTTACGTAGTTGACTAAAGTATTCAATAAATGATTAACAACCGTCCCGCCGTGGTTGGTGTGGGTTACGGTGATCTTTCTCGGCCAGCTCGAGTTTGGGTTAGGGTTAAGCGGCGGCTCGAACAGTCGGCGCCGGTGAAACGCAACGCGAATGATCTCGAAGCGTGCCTCAATGAACGGACACGTTAGACGCATGTCGTACGATTCGCATAAAGGTAGCAACATCACGCCAGATCCCCTCGTACAATGCTGGCCCGACTAATATGGCCGCTCTTTCTTCGCCGGTTAATCGTTACTTCCGCCTCCCCGAGCGTTCCAGACTTCTACCGCTACGGCGAGCGGTATCACGCTGCACGTTCCCTCATCAATGTCCTCATCGACGTTTCTTCGAGCCAACCTTCACGAATCCGGAAAATTCCTCGAGACGCGTCACAGTCGACGCATAAACACGCCTCGCTTTACACGGCGAATCAACGTTTTACTATTCAACAATTCGACGTTCACCGTTGATAAAAAGCAATGGCAAGCAAGAAGTATCCGAGCAAAGTCATTTCAATTTTTCGTTTCGACGCACCGAGGATATATATTCCGATACTTCGATATACACGTTACCATTAGCAACCAGAATGTCTACCCAAATCGTACTACGATACTTTCGGAATCCTTTACCATCGAAACACCGTAGATCACCGTACATCGTCGATTTCGTCAAACGTTGATACGCGCAGAGCAAAGATACGCATTCGCCTATTACGAAAGTTTGCCCTACATAGCTCTCCAAGATGGCGCCGGACCTCCCGGGGAACAATGTTTACCGGCGTCCAGCTTACGCAATTCCATTATTTATTCGCGGCGGGTTCCCCGAAGGGAATTCAATTAAGAATTACCGTGTTCCAGCGAGTTTTCGGGGACGCCTGGCAGCCACCGTCGTTTTCGCGAGAAGCATCGAAGATCGTTTTACGATCGCGGTTTACGGCGAAAAGGGGTCAAATGCAAACGAACGTGCGCCGCGTCCGAGCCGAGGAATATTCTTCTCTCTCCGCGCTGTGCGCGCCGGCTGGCTGGCTGGTTAGATGCAGCCGCTCGTGTGAAGACGATGCACGAGTGAAATTCTCTCGTATTGACCTTTCACAGCGCGACAAAAATCCGCCGCGGAGCCAGTTCTCTCCTTCCCGTGAACCGGCCCCCGGCCTCATCTTCTCTCACGAGTACACGATTTCCACCGATAGTCCCTAATTGGGATCGTGCCGTCCTTCCCCCCCTACGACGTCGACGAAAGTGGAACGTGTCTAATTGCGGGACGATAATATGATCTTCCCGCGTTGTTAAACTGTTGAATATTCCGGTGCCAAGGGGATGCGACCTCGTTACTCGACTTAGGAGACACTTTCTACGCGAACGATTTGATTCTTCAGTGGATTTCGACGGTTTTCTTGGAATTACCATGTTTCATCTGATCGAAGTGTTTGTTTCTGGCAGTGCATGCATGGAATTTCTTTGTTCGATGTATTCTTTTCACCGTAACCGGAACACGATGCGACTTTGAG